GGAGGCCATCGCAAGTAGGTTGGAGGCCATCGCTAGTAGCTTGGAGGTCATGGCTATTAGGTTGGAGGCCATCGCAAGTAATTAGGTTGCAGGCCATAGCTGGTAACCAGAGCTACTTGCGCATTTAACTGCTTGCATCAATCAATCACCACCCCTGCATGTTTACACTGATGGAAGCTGTCAGCATCCCACTTTGCCGACTCTTCGTTACGCAGGTTGCAGTGTGGTCATCGACTCGTGTTGTAGTGATGCGGGTCGAATCTGGCCAGCTCAGCGATACAAAGAAACAAGTTTGTGGCCCTCCACGTTGCGTGCGATTTTGCAGGAGCTTTGTCCACAGGAACAGAATATTCACCACGCAGCGCTGCGTGGAATCATTCGCGCCCATGAGCTTTTCGTCATGCCATCATACATGTGGATTCCTCCAGCGCCATTGCCACCTTTCGTGCAACTGTGCATACTCAGGGAAGGCAACTCCACAGACATGTACAGCCTGTCTTGCGCCAACGCATCCAACAACTTGAGAATTTGGAGTATAACCACATTGCAAAATTAAGGGCCACGCTGATGCGTCCTCCTTGCCTGACTTGGAGCGCTATCATAGCCTAGGCAATGCGGTGGCAGGTCATGCAGCAGAGGATGTCTGCCTCCGAATGCTGCCTGCTTTGACAGAAGGGTGGGAATGTACCATCCACAATCGCCAGTCTGAAGCCAATCACCTGCATGAGTTCTATCAACTCTCCCTGGCTCTGCAGAAGCATCGTCAAGACTTTGTTTCCTCGGCGCCGGCCTCCATCAATCCAGAAGAGCCTCTCCAGCACCGAGCTGGAGCAATGGCTGCATACTTGGCCTTTTGGCAGGTGTCTCAGCCTTGGTCCTTCTCCCTGAGGACGCCAGAAAGAATGCTTTCTTCTCTCATGGCTATTGGGGCGCGCGTCTCTTGGATTGTGTCTTGCAATGGGTCAACGCCCTGTGTTGAGCTCCTGACGCTGATGCAGTGGAAAATGCCACTATTGGCGTATCATGGATGGAACTTGTGCTTAGCTCCATGTTCTTTTCGCATAGTTACATACCTGTACATCGGAAGAACTCGCTCTTTTGCTTGGGCACATTCCAGTGCGGCAGCCCGAGCCTTCAGCTATACTTGGAACGAAAGTACAGCAAACGATCTCTCTGAGCGGTTGTGCCACACTCCCCAGTTATGTTCGTAGTGCCGGAGTGTGTTCACTTCACCGGCAGGGTGCTGGCACATGCCTTTTTTGGCAAGTTTCCCTGAGCAATCACGTGTGTGTCAGATCATTGAGCAAACTTTCAAGCAACATGCTCGACCAGCTTCGTTTGGTTGGTGGCCTGAGTTCGATTTCCCATGGTCTGCATCGGATTGTAAGTTTGAGTGGAATCCTCCTCTGGGGTCGTTCAACGTACTCCAGAAGAAACTGAAGCTTGGCAATCGTCTGGCCAAAGCTGCTCGGGCCACCGTTTGACCTTCGTGGTGTTCTACATCCTGGCCTTTCTGTTCTGAGCGAGGTGCATGTCTTTTCTTTTCGCGCTTGTTTCCGGTCTGACACCCAGCCCGAGCTAGGGGGGGGGCCCTCTTGCCAAGGAAAAGCCATAGCTGGTAGTAGCTTGGAGGTCATTGCTATTAGGTAGGAGGTGAGTTTGTGGTTCTTCCAAGGAGTGCACACAGGTTTTTCCTCTGCGATCTCCGACATGTCATAAGAGGCCTGGGCACGTTCAAGGACCCTGCAGGCCCGCCGGGTTCGTTACCGGCCCACGATTTGGGTTTGCACCAAAATGCCAGAAAAAGGCATCAAAAGCACAAATAGCCACAAACGTGGGCCGATAAAGAAGCCAACAGCAAAAACACACTTGCACACAAACAAACGTGCCTGGGATATGCAGCGCAAAACTCCAGACCTCGTCAGCGAACTGCTGCAACCCGATCTACAGTCAGCAGCGGAAGCCAAATGTTGACAGGAAAAGTATGCGCGCAGTCGCCAGGCCAAATTTTTGGTAAACCCTCTACAAACTCAACGTAAACCATTAAAGTACACTTGTTTTGTTATAAACCACAACAAATCCAAGCGCGCCCATTAGCTAGTTCAACGTCAGGTCTCTATGAGGGTCTCCGCATCAGAATGTCAGGGTTTTTAGAAATCTTTTCAGCGTGTGTTTGGATGTTAAAATTTGGTACCTCTTTCATGTTCTCCCCTCTCCAGCTTTTCACGACGAGTTGCGTAAACACTGTTGATGGAGTGTCAGTGCGCCCTTCTGGGCTGTGGCAAGCTTCCACCCGCTCTTCTGCCTGCACGGGAAGAGGTTCCACCAAGCGCTGGCCGTGCAGTGCGTTCCAACTATATCAACTAAATGTCTATATAACAGTCTAACAAGTGCAAAGCAGTTCCATCCGAGGTTCCCATAAGAAAGGGCCCCAAAAATGTTTAACTGTTTAACTCATAAACATAGTTATATAAGGGAAGTGCACAATATTCAATCGTCATCATGTTCAACAGAAACACACCCAGTTTGGTCAGTCTTGGCTGAATTGGCGTCTCAAGCTAGTACCAATGCGAAAGCTTAAAAAAGAAGAAAAAAAAAACTCCCACCGGGTTGGAAACCGAACCCGTGGTCGCATACATTCCACATTAGCACGAAGTGGTTGAGTGATGTAATTAAGTCCTCATATTTTTGTTTGAGGTTCAGGGTGGTTGAAAACAGAAGAAACCTGACTGTGCATACACAAACGCACTCCGTTGAATGGGACAAGCAGAAGTTGTTTTTGTTTTTTGAGCATCGTTTCTTGACAACATGTCGGGAGCGTCGGAGCTGCGACCTTGAGCTGCGGATGTGAATTTTGGCTGAGATTGTTTGTTTTGGCGGTACTTCCCTTGTGCAACGTGCGAGAGTGTTTTTGCTTCCACCAAAAAGTGTCCGAAATGATGCGACCCTCTGCCGTGTGCCAAACTAAAGAGCGAGTTTTGCGTGGCCGTTCCAATGGTGCGGCACATATTTCGCAAACAAAACATCCATGAAAGAATCGAACAAAATCATCCAGCCCATTCCCCCAGTCTCGAAACATGCCAACAATCATGTTATTTTTTATGAATGGCCATCGAGTTGGAAAAAGGTCAAAAATTAGGAAGTGAGCACCACCATTACACGTTCGGTTTCCCACCCAGTGGCAAAGACATGATTCAAACAGCATCCAAACCTCAGCAGAGTTGAACATGGGAGATAAGGCAAGGCCAGCTGCTTTGGGGATCTAAACTAAAGCAAGCGGCAGACAAAAGTACAATCATCATTTGGATACTTAAACCAGTTGAGAGAAGAACACAAAGAAAGGCAAAGGCAACAAAAAGCAAAACCAGCTTTGAAACAGTCCAAAGCCAAGAATGGTGACCGAAAGTAGAACGTGCTCAGCTATATGACCAGGGATGGACTTACCTTATACAAAAATGAATGCGCACTCTCTAACCATCACATCTCCGTGCATCCTTTTCCAGATCTTTTGGGTCAATGCCTTGAGCACATTTTTCATGGCTTTGGCCTGGCCAAGATTTGTAAAGAGCGTTTCAAGAAGTAAAAGGCTACGGAGCGTAAACTGCCTTTCGCGGAGATGTTGCCCCGCGGCTTTGGAAGAAGCAAAACACACCTCTGGGTGAGCAGAAGGGCCACAAACTTGCAGCAAAAAAACATTGCTGCAAAGCGCAGTCAAGTGGCCAGCCGCGGTAATGAAACATAGACCTTGTGGAGACTCATGGGTCTGCATGCTTCCTGTAAGACCCTTCAAGCAAGCAGAAAGCCAAATAGTTAATGTCAGTCTCCAAATTCAGTCTGGTGGCCAGCTACAATAACAAGCTGTCGGTCTAGCGAGGCCTCAGCGTGTACGGATATTGGCATGCAATCACTTGGAATAGATGCCTCAAGTGACTTTGGCTCCAAGTTCCAAGCTGTTGTGTTGAAACTCAGACTGGCAATCAAGCCAGTCGCACAGGAGCCACCTCAAAACACATGAAAACAGACACCTTCCCAGTGCAGTACTGTGCGGCTCAGTCCATGGCAGAATGGCAGTGCGGCGAAACACCTTGCAGGGACCGCGCACTCCCAGCGATTTAGGAAGTTCCGAACTGGAACAAAATCGGAAGACATTTCAGAAGACTTGAGAAGAAACGTGCCACTTTGACTAAAACAAAAATGATATGATATGTGTCATTTTTATGAGTGAGCCTTCGCTTCATGCGCTTCTGCACCAATGTGGGCACACACCCACGCAACTCCTTTCGGCCTACTACACCGCTAGTCTATCCGGGTTTTGTCGCATAATTAAATACTCTCCGATTTCTTGATCTGGAAGCTTCTTCAGCTGCACTGCTCATTTCATTGACAACCCTCACATCTGATCCACGGTGCTGCGATAGTTTACACATCCATCCAACCCGATCCCTAACACTTGAATCAGCAATATCAATCTGAAAATTCGCTCCTACCACCTTCACTTCTTGCCATTCAACTTGTCACATGTTCTCAAGCAAGCTGAAAAGCGCCCTCCGCTCTTGCTCTGCTGAGCATGCAGCTACCCGACTCGGCCCTTGCACTGAATCGGCGCAGCTTTGCATCAAGCTCCTCAATAGTTTCTGAAATGATTGTCATGTTTCATGTTTCATCCTCCTCCTTTGTTCTTCTCTTTAGAGATTTAGGAAAGACCTTTAAAGAATTCTTCCAAAAATTGCTTCATGGCAATTCTTCCACTTGATGACCCTAAGTCGCTGGCGGATCTGCCACGTTCCATCTCGAGCTTTGAGTTTGAATAGTTTACTTGAGCAATGTTTGGCATCTCAGGGCGCTTCTTTTGAGACTCTGTTGGCTGGATGAACATTGAGGATGAACATCTCAAAATGACTAGAGTAGGGGTAGGTTGTTTCCTTGCTTGCTTGCGTGCTTGCGCCCTTGCTCCAGCATTTCTCCACAAAAATGGAGGCAGCAAGTCGGCAACGAGACAAATCTTTGCTTGTCTCAGGCTATGTACAAAAGAGAGACGGACCGAATGCCAGAAAATGTCACCAGTCGGCTGAATGGGCCAAAGCTTACTGTCCCGTCAGCTCAACTTAGAGTGACTGCATATAGTTCCCTAAACATTGCTGGAATTCACGCTGCTGTGCCTGAATCGGCGCGCAGGGAGGCAGGGAGGCAGGGAGAGACAGAGACAGAAAGACTTGCTGACAAAGGCCTACTGTAATAAAAAGAATCACACTGGGTAGGGTCCCAAGGTCCCCAATCCATCACAATGAATTCTTTCGGGTTAAACAGAACAGTCTACCGCCAGGTTTCTGGGGTGAAGTTAACATCAGGATGCTCGCACAATGACGAGCCTCCAAAACGGCCGCAGTCGCCCTGAATGGCTGAAGGGCTTCCTCTCGAGTCACATCGCACTTTAGTTACAAAGTTCAAGGAACTGTCTCAAACCAGTCTCCTTTGAGTATCCTAGCAAGAGAAGCTCACACACCACTGGAAGTAGCTACTGCAACAGCAATGAACTGTTGGATAATTTTGGGGATTTCTGCTTGACGCTACCTTGCCAAACCTTGTAGAGTAGTTTTCACTGTGGTTAAGGTTACATGGGGACAAGTAGTAGCAAAGCAAAAAACAGTCGTGGCAGTGATATGGCTGCAACAACAACGACAGCAAGACTTAGGAGTCTAGCACAGAAGGCACCAGCGCCACCGGCAGCGGCTCTTGCAATCTTTAAGCCAATGCATTTAGCGAAGGCCATAGATCCCGGCCCCGAACAGTGGCTGACCAGACAGACAAACGAAACAGCAAAGAAGGAATGGCCCAACAAGAAGAGGTGGAGGACCGATGCGAAACCGCAAAACCAGGGAGAACTGCAGTGCCGGACTGAGACTAACTGGGAGATACTATTAGGAGTGAAAGCAGGAGACGAATGGAACACAACTACCTCAGGATTGAAAGATTCCAACCAGGCCACCAATTGTAGATGGATGTTCTGCCCTGGAAATCCGAGTCTGCATGTGGGGACATTCAATTAAAGGAAAGGAAGCGAAAACCCTTGAAGCGAACACCACCCCAGGCTGGGAGACAAATGCATGGTAAGCAAGCAGAAAGCAATAAAGCACCAGAAAGCGACAGGGCTGATGCGGATACACGCTCAGAAAGTACTCAGGACCTCAACAGCAAATGAAACCAATCTTTGGAGGTTGTCACTGCCGTCAGGGTTGTGTGCTCTAACTTAGAACTCCAATGCCATTCTTTATCATCCACCACTGCAATGCTTTCTGTCAACTTGCACTTGTAGATATTGCACCTGCAGAAAAGCTGTATGGGTTGTGGATCTATGTGAATGTTGTACTTCGTTCCATGGTGAGAGCTGGCCATGCAGAAGCAAAGCCAAATCCAGGCTCATTGAGTCTTCAAACGGATTCTTTCCCACCTCAGAGTCGCCGCTGCGGTCTCCCAGGAGCAGGCCAGCCAACTCTTCTTCCTGGAATTGAAAAATTACTGTTGCCTTGCACTTGTCTTACTCTTCCCGCATTTCTGTCTGCCTCTAGATCGAGGATTCGAGCTGATGCCGTGCACGGCTCTGGTGGCCCTGATGAGCATCTGATGTCCTCCAGAAAGTTTTCGTCATCGTCCTCATCATCCTCTCCGCTCTCACCGCCAGCACTGGTCGGCGATTGGTCCTGCTTCTTGACTTGGTCAGAGATTCTACTGAGTATTCTGATGTATTCTGTATGTTGTACATAGTTTAACGCCTTGCGGAGTATTGTTAGTTTAATATAGTTTAACAAATATCAACAAATTGCAAACTCTTTGGTGTCCTCTATGTGTCCTTTCGCTACTTTCTAACAACTTCGACTAAGCTCAAAACTCTAAGATGGTCAGGTTTGTAGTGGGTCTTGTGCTTTAAGTCCAAGCTCTAGAGTCCACAAACCAAGAACTTCAGTGAAGCACCGGCCAGGACCTTTTTGCAGGAGTCAAAGACCATGCTTGAATGCGAGAAGCTGCTGCAATGCGCAACTTTAAATCGTCAACTGCTACTTGGCTTGGGGTCAAAGGCACTTGTTACACTGTCACACAGAGCATGACGTCTAAGAAACAGAATGTGTTAAGTGCTCAGACCCGGTTCCAAAACCTCCGAGCCATTAAATCGTCAGAAATGGTCGTGGAAGCCCTCAAACCTCCTTTGGAAAAGTGGCAACGGCAAAATCAGCTGCTAAAGGACTTTCCACTTCTGAGTTGCTAAAATCTGCAGAATACCTACAGTATCCACAGTTAGTCTCCAGCAACTCTATATCATATCTGCTTGCAAAATCAACTCAAGGAAGTTGGAAAAGAGCATTCATTGGCGTCAACGATAGAACTGTCCATCGTGGACAAGCACGTCGACAAGGAGTTGCTGGACACTGCGAGCTACGAAAATAATCGAAAATATTACATGCTGACCTCTCAGAGGCATGACACCAAGTAAGACCCTTTTTCAGTCAGTCACAAAATAGTTTCTAGGTCGTGAATGTCATGAATTTGCTCACTGAGCCCTCTTCTAGGAGGAGACAGTATTGGCTCTCCCCGAACTCGTATCGGTTGCTTGTGCCGACAAATCGGGCACTCCACCTGAGAATGCTCACATTGCCGCTTGCACATCTCCACGATGCAGCTGGAATGAAAAGCGTGGTTGCAGTACAGCTGTCCTTGGTTTCAGCGCTGCCAGGTGCATTCAACTTGTGAATGTTTCGTTTCTGTGTGCAGGAACTTGAAGGGCACCGCATGACACGTCGCATACACAAACCACTGGAGATGTTTTTTGCATGTAAAAAAGGCACGAGGGCGAGCAGGTTATGAACCCAAAGCTCGCACAGGCCAACCCTCGGCCCAAGCAATGGACATAGTCATTTGCCGACGACGTCGGACGAAGTCGGCCTCGAGGTTGAGGAGGAGAGTGAGGGACTTGGAGACCCTAGCCACGAGCTCCACGAGCTCCATGAGTCCTGAGGTCCACGACGCACCTCACTAGATTGGGAACCAAAGAGTGCTAGAAGGGTGGGCTTGCTGCCAGCACAGCCGGCGAAAGTGGCACGACCTGCCTACGTGAAGAAAATGGAAAGCCGGCTCAAGTGAGCACTGCAACGGGAACGCCTCGCAGGACCTCGGGTACATGTGGGCTCTCGCTAAGGGAGGCAACGCAATGGATGGACTACATGCTGGACAACAAGTACACGTTCAGCTTTGCCACCACCTCGAGGTCTACGTCTACATGGGAAAGAACATGGGATCCTACAAGTAGAGACCTTCAACTACAAGTTCGTGTCTTACGGGAGCTCAGTGGTATGGCGTGGGGTCTCGCTATGACAGCTATGAAATGGGTCTTGACGATGGAAGAGGAGTCGGAACATCACACAAATCGAGATCAGCAGTTTGAGTAGCTGCAGATGTTGATGGCTGGCACGTCAAGCCGCGGTGGAATCCAGGCTTCGGTGGAAAAATGTGCAGTATCAATGATGTTAGCTCCCATTCCACAACCGCTGAAGGATGATCTCATTTCAACCATGGCATTGACGCCACTCCAAGTCACCATTGCCAAGTTGACGACGCTGTATCAACCTGGACGGATCTTTGAGAAGACTGTCATTCTCAAGCAACTTAGAGGAGTAAAGAAGGACTTGGAGAAGGCAGCTCAACTGGTGATTGTCTTGACTTCCTTCCAACGGGTCCATGGGGTCTTGGATGAAAATTTCACAAAATTTCACAGAAGAACAACTCAGCAGGTCAGACAGGAACACTATCCATGATCTCCAAAAATGCAGGTCACGAAGGTTTGCACTAATTGCTTCCACTGACGGCCAGCGGTTCAAGGCAGAGGGGGACACAACGCCAGAGAGCCTATAAGGAAACTACCGTCCTCTACCAGGATCAATGAAGTGGCCGCTCTGCACACAGGCAGGCCCTCGCAGTGGGAGCCAATGCGAGCCATGGAGGAGATCCGTGAGTGCAAAGACGGTCGCTGAGACGGCCGCAAGAGCTTGAGCCTGCGAGACCCTTTTGCGAGCAGTGCCCCTCAGAGATGGCTCGAAGAGTTGGGAGGAGTGCAGTAGCTTGAGACAGGTCACATACACAAACCACAAATGCCGTGTTTTGCCCAAAAAAGGCACGAAGGAGACATACACACATATATATATATATATCGACACAAAGAAAATGGGACGAAGTTGTCACTTGCAAGAAATTGCCAAGGACAAAAGAAGCAAAACCGCTAATAGTTTTGCCACAACTTCTAACACAGCAGGGCACGTTACCTCTTACTGGTGTCAATGAGGTAAACACATCTGCAAACTGCTGACACCAAATTTTAGTTGTAAAATCTTTCCTATTGCTGAAAACTAAAGCTACGCATAGTAGATGGCGAGCTATTCTTCAAGATCAAGTGAGAGAAGCTTATCCTCTTTCTTTTCCTTGATGCAATCTTTGCAGGGAAGGTTAATACCCCGTGCACACACTAAGCAGCTTGGGGGCATCTCCGACGTGCCAAACTCAATACAGTGCGACAAATAGCTTCTAAATGGATATATATATATATATATCTACTCAACAATGGCCTTGGCATAATGAGCATAATTCCCCACACAAGAAGTTAAGCTATTGCATTGGTACCAACTCCGGTTGCTTGCGACCAGCATCTGGCATGCTCATCTTTTTTGATTGTATCCAGGCAAATCATGCAGATTGTCTCCTCATCCCGCAAGAAAATCTCCTCCATCGCAATTGGCGGCATGAGTCAGTCAGAAGTTATGCTGACGCTGATCCTGGTGAGCCTACCAATTCTTTTGGAAGGATAGCTTTGCAAATCTCAAATTTAATGAACATAAGAAAGAGTATGGCTTGTGGCCAGGGGTTGATGCAATCTAGCTGTGTGGAAAGTCGGCTGAAGAGAGCAGCCAGCTCCAACTCCTACAAACACATTGCCAAAGCAAGAGCAACTCCAGCTAGCTGTAGATTGTCAAAGCTCACATCGAATCATCGCATCCCATTCCTGTACTGACGCCTCTACATCTGCTTCAACGCCAACAGAGACTGTTGCTGCCTGACAAGGATCGTGCTTCTTCACAAGCTGTTGATTCTGTGATACTGAGTAGTTTGACTCGGCGTTCTGGTCCCGGCACAAGATCAAGATGACAAACCTGGAGTGCTTAGCTCATCCCTCATACCTTGAGTTTTGCGGAAAAAATCTAGGAACCCAATCAACCATGTGAGAGTTTTTTCCAGGAAGCTCCGCCCTCAGGCGGGGGGAGCGTCCTTGAAAAAGCCTGAGCTCTTCTTCCTTTTCCATGAGTAGCGACCTACTTAATAGCACTAGCCACTTACTTTAGTTACTTATCCCTCCTCTTCACGGCCTGCCCCCCGATAAAATGAAGGGTGCTGAATCAGTGCTGAACACGAGTCGAACAAACTCTTCCCAAACAAAACAGGCTCGTGTTCTGGCCGGACGCCTTGCTCTGTTCTTGCCCAGGGTCCGAGCCTGCGTCGACGGCGCTCGTATTGTTCGAAGACCAACCCAGCGGTAATTTCTTGCAAAGAATGAGACCTGTTAACAAGCAGCAAGTCCTTTCAAAATACTTTACTTTGGCAAAGCGGTTTGAGAAATATCTTGCTGGCTCCTGCATATATGACTACAAATCCAAGGGTTTCAGTCTGTATTTAGGACTCAGACTCTTCAACTCATTGATCTGGCAGCACTTTGGTTGAAGCCAAGAACTCTCCCAACACATCGTCACCTCTGTCTCTGTGCCCACGTATGTACAGCACAATGATGGACACAACTGCAAAAACCCCGAGGATAACGGCAAAGGAGATAGGCACAAGCATGACATCTTCCATGGACATGGCCGACCAGGCGAGATCAAGCGCAGTTCATCGAAACCGTGACATTACAACATCTGCTTATACGAAACAATACAATACAAAGACCTGTGCTACATCTCGCGTACTGCGTATTGTGGGGTCCTAGGTTCCTTCTATGTTGATGATATTTCCACAAGCCGACTCAACCCCTTGATGCATTGGGCAGGCAGGCATCGCCGGCTGCCTCTCCATCTGAAAGCTACAAATCAAGTATAGTCGGCTTCAGCAAGTACTGGTGGTCATGTAGCCACTAACATATTTCCAGCCGTCATTATGCTGCGGACAGTCGAAGAGTTTAAGGACCTTCAGGCTGCATAGGTCATGAAAATTTGCAGCTAAAGAATGAGGAAGAAAAACAAAAGTAAGATTTGCCAGGGTAGGTAGCCATGCGCGCTCTCCTCCGGATTCATTTCCTCAAGCAAATATTCAATCCTTGGTTGTTGAGATCCAGATTCCACTGGGGTTGGGAAATGTTAGACATATGCCAGTGTGAACAAGGACCCTTCGAGGAAGACAACTTGCAGATCCAAAGGTGCAAGTAGCCAAGTAAGTGCAAACAAACTTCAATTATCGCCCTGCCCTGGGCAAGTAATTCCCAAAATATAGACAAGGGAAACTTATATATTCCACATTCATACACACTATCCAAGCCAAAAAGTTCGCAAAACGCAACCCACGACCCAAAATGGTCACCTACCAACAAAACATGGGTCGACTACATGACCTTTGGGGGGATACATACGCGGCATAGGTTTGCACTGGCCTTCTCGAGGCGCATCAACTTAGCCAAAGGAGACAAACCAAAATGTGTTGACTACAGCAGAGGTAGACAGGTCTTCATACATTTTTCCCAGGAGTATTCTCACCGTTGAATTCCCACTGCCCCGAATACTCTGCTCGGCTAAACGCTCTTCATCTAGCTGCAGCCCCACCATGTGTGGAGACAATCTGCATCATGAACACACGTGGCCATCGTTCTGGAGCATATTTGGTTTATTTATCCCCTGCATTGCCATGATTTTGATGCACACACTGTCGACTGGGCACAAAGTGGTTCTCAGTTGGTCAAGGCAAATGTTGTAAGTTCTGTAACCTTGCCAGTGAGACACTCCAAGTCTGAGCCCAGAGTCTGTCTCACTGAGATGTCGTCCCCAAGGCTGTTTGCCTGGTGGCGTGCAAGAAGTAAGTTGTTCTAGTAAACAAAACATGCTATGTATCTGTTGTTTTAAGAAGAATGTGTGCTTCCCAAAAATGCTATGAGTCACCTGCGGGTATATAATTAAGACCTCTTTATAAACCATGATGAGCCTAACGGTGAGTCGCCAAGAGGGCGCGTTGGAAATTGTTCCGAAGAATCTCTAGTAAGACGTAAGGAGTAGTTACGTACTAGCGCCGGGTTTAACTCACATCAGGCGGTGTAAAGTCACATCTCCCAATGGCACAGAGCCAAAACCAAGCCACATGGAAATGGTTTCTGGGCCTGCGAGTGGATAGATCGCAGCATTGCCTCCAAGCCCCAACGTTGCGCCGTCTCTCGGAAACTTGGCAGCGACAGCAATGAGTAAAGCCTCAGGATGCGACTGCAACACATGAAGTGTCCAAGTCACCAAAACCCAAAACTCTTAAACCTTCCAGTCACTTTGATCCCTACGTCCCTGTCTTTCACGATTGCCATTGCATCTACGGCACGTTCCATTGATGTGTGTCCTGGCCAGCACAAACATTTCGTTTCAAAGGCGACGAACAAGTCAATTATTGGCGCTTCAAATTTTGAATGGTGACTGACCTGGTTTGGCACTGTTGGCTGATGTTTGTTCCGATTGCGCTTGATCTGGTCCTGATCTGCGGATTCCAATGCCTCAATTTTCACAACAGTATATAATTACATCCTTGCCTTTGCATCAGGCACATGAAAGTCCTATTGGTGAAATGTTCCGAGAACAACAAGGCGGGCGAGGCACTCCATGAGTTTCATTGCAACTGGAAGCATTTCTTGCTGCTCCAAGCATCTCCGCTTCCCCGCGGAGCGCAGCGCCAGGTTCTGATGAACGGGAAGCCAAGGTGACGAGAATAAATAGCATAGCACCCCAAAAAAAGCATGCTTTGCATGAACTTCGCATGATTACATTCTTGCCAGCTCCAAGAAACAGTTGTGAACTGATGCACTTCTTTGAGAAGGCGTTGCGATGCAAGTTTGTGACAAAATTGCAGACTCATTGCCCACCATCAGCATCGCAGAACCAAACTCCAAGGAGAACTCCGATGGCATTCCATGGCCCTGCACAAGTGCACAAAACTCGAAGGCGAGGAAAGCCATGAAAAGTCATCTATATGATGTAATACTGTAATACTGTAGTGTATGTTTTGGATCTGCGCTCACATGCTCAAGTTCAGACACCCAAACCAAAAGAGTTTGAAGAAAAAAAAAAAGATTCCTAGGGCATCGATACTATATAGAAACAAAGGGCATCGCTACTAGGAACAAGGATGCTACTAGTAGCTCCTGGCATCGCTATTAGCAGCAAGAAGCATAAACGATGCAAAACGGAAAAACATAATGGAAACTTTCCCGAGCGCCTCCGTGGGCGATCCCAAGACCTGGACGGCCTCACCCGGGGCACAGCGTTGATTATAGATCGAAAGCTGACCCCAGGGATCCTTGTGGCAATATCTTCAAACTTGAACTTGGTGATATGCGATTCTACATTGTCCAGTTTCCTCTACCAAAACACTGAAGAACTAAAGAACGGAGTCTATCAGCAGCACTTGAAAATTGAGGCCTGTGACGGGACCCTGTAGGTTCCGTGTTCTTCTCATGATCAAAGCAACTACTCGATTTCTCCGGTGCATTGGGGGGACGGCCCACTCCACCAAGCCCATCTCAATCATGTGGTCCTGCATCCGTTTTGGTCACAGATCGTCACGGACAGTTCTGGGGCCAATGGAAGCAAGCAATCCAGGCTCCTGTGCACTCCTCCTCAGGGACAGACGCTGCATCGCAGCCAAAGCCTGTATGTGCACCGAGGAATCCTGAATCACAGAGAAAGCAAACTCAGCAGGATGTCACAACAGAGGTTGTTATTGCACACGTTTCAATGAAAAGTCAATCAGGCTCCCAACCAATGGCTTCGACTTGAGCAGGTGGATCATCCTAACATGACAAGGATCTCGAAAAGTCAAGACTCTGGTCCTGGAGTAAAAGGCTTGGCAATTGCACTTCGATCAACAGGCCAAGTTTCATACAAGTTTGGAAACACATGTCTTCAGAGCGGGAAAGCTAGGAAGAAAATTAATTCAGTGTCAGACAATGTTCAAACAAAGTACTACTTGAGTGCAATGAAGTAAGTTTGCCCCGGGTGTGCTCGCCTCTGAACACTCGCGTCACTGGACACGATATAGCTGCGACCTACGGCCTACCAAAGTGAAAGATGTGAAGGCAGGGAACTCTGGAGAACCATCACTGATCGATCAATGAGCGATGGCTCAAATTGTACGCTTGAGTTACGTGCCTCACAGGCGAGCGCCGCCAGGATGCCAAGGGTAAGCTCTGATACCTCGGGATTGTCCAGCAGCGAAGGCAGCGCTGTGGGCAAGCAGCGGACCTTGGAAGTATCATTTTCTCTCAAAGAGAGAGAGAGAGAGATGCAAACATGCCTCCACATGTGCCTCTCAACCTGTAGAGAAGCAGAAAGAAGGGCAAAAAATCACACAGTTTAAAGTACGCATCTGTTCCATTCAAATTGTTTTCTGGATGGAACTTTGTCATCGATTGGATTGGTCGATTACTTTGAGGCCTGGACACCCAGCACATCGAAGCACGGGACCGCAACCAAGAAGCCCCTTCGCAAAGGCAACGGGGATTCTGCCGATGTAAGCCTGTGGATCTAGCAAAGGCTTTCACTGTCCATCTCACATAGGCTTTCATATGTCAAACATCAATCCAAATTCATCACCGTCTGTGGGGCCTTTGCAAAATAGCTCGCAGGACAGCGGGTAAGGTCGATGGCGGACTAGCTTCAAAGCGTTCCTGCTCTTTGGTGCCAGCCAAAAGTCATTTTTTATGTCTATTCAATTGTGCTATGTACTCTCACAAAAAGAGCTTGAAAAAGCAAGTGAGTCAGGTGAACAAGAGGAACTGCTTCTCCTCGTGGGAACAAACAAAACGACGAAGTGCTGTAAAGTCTATCCTTGGCAGCTTGGCATTGGCAATCCCAACACCGTTTCTATGTCCAGTCTTCCACTGCGTCTTTTCTACAATCTTCTCATCTTCTCATCCCATCTCGTCCCAGTCTTTTGTTCCCAGTCTCCACTGGGGACCCTCGCTGGGGTAGCTGTGGCCGAGCGGTCGCAGCGCGGGACCGTACGCTGCGGGCAGGGCTCATAGGACAGAGCGGTCGCCTTGAGGGAAATGGAAAAATGAAGGGTTGAACAGACGGAAGGGATTTGATTGAAGGTATGATGAGGGATGAAGGGAAATGCAGGGAAGGTGATGAGGTGAACGAAGACTGTGATTTCGAGATCGGGATGTTCACCAACAAAAGTTGTACTTCAAACGTATCAAGCACAGCACACAACAATTGAATTCGGTCACTATGGTGAATGGAGACACTCTCTCAACAAATGTGTTTATATATCAGTGGAGTTTGGACACATTTTGGCCAACACCGAGTGGTGGATGGACAATTGCGCCACCCAAAGGAGGTTCGAGAAGTTTAATCATGTGCAGCCAATGCACCCTGTGACCTTCCCGTTCCAAGACTGAAATTGGAGCAAAGGCCTGAGCTGGGGATCAAACCGACTGTCCTGCGACTTCAACTGGAGTGCAAGACCTTCAGATGATCGCAGGACCAAAGTAGAATTTTGAGCTTTGTCGGAGTGGGAAGCCTAATGGGAAGGAAGGCCCCAAAGCTGAAAGCTCTTTCTCGTTCGTGAACCTTGCCCGAGCCTCCAGGCACATGGTCTCGCAAAAGCTCAAGTTGCTGTCGAGCCTCGCGTCCATGGTGCATCTCACATCTCACAAGTCCGAAAAAATGATCGACAAATGGCAGGAAACTGAAGGACTAAAAAAGAACTGAGAGGAAACAAAGAAGGTAAGGCCCCTTTTGGGCAGGACGTCTTGTTGTTTTTGTTTTTGTGTTAGACCTTGTTCAACACTCAACACTGTTTTCTGTTACCGATATGTGTCAGGTCCAGCGGCACTTGTGAGGACGGATGGCGCCACGGGTATCCCTTCCGCCAACCTCACTGCACAGGTGGCAAGAGAAGAAGGGAGAAGCCTCGCAATTTGCCTCAAACTAGACACAAACTGCAAAGCGACGCAAACTACTTTAACAGGCTATCACAACACTATTATTGATATTATACATCAGCCACTGCAGTTTAAAATCCGGATTGACTCGCTCCTTTCGCCAGAGCTCAGCTCCCGACAATGCTATGGCATCCAAGCTGGCATCAGCCAAGCGCAAAAGCTCCGCCCAAACAGACTGGGCCACAGTTGCTCTGTGAGGACCCTGTTCTTTAGGCTGAACACTACAACTCAAAGCGCAATGGCCGATCCTTACTGTTCAATTACCAAGTTTGCAGTGTTCCATTACCAAGTACGCTGCAATCAATCCGTAGACCCTGTTTTGTAGTCGTATAGCATGTCATTTTGGTGCACGTCTTTTGGACACAGCAAACTCAAGATCGGCGAAGAGTCGATGCTCTCCCTACCGTTACCCCGAATGTGTGTGCGGTGTGCATTGGGAACAAGGTAGCTACAGGCAAAGACGATTGACCAAGGCTGGAACACTTGCCCACAATAAAAAAGCCTACAGTGGCCTACAGTATTTCACAAACGCAAAGGGAAGAGTGCAACCTAAGGAGTGAAGGAGCCCAACTTCTACGCCCACTCACAAATGGGCTTGAAGCAAGGGAGTGAGATGGAGTGAGAGAAAGTAGCCCCTAGTAGCATTCTTGTTACTAGTAGCAATGCCAGGAGCCCCTAGTAGCATCCTTGCTCCTAGTAGTAAGGCCAGGAGCCCCTAGTAGCGTTCTTGCTCCTAGTGCATCATATGATCATTATCTTTCGCAACTTCCTGTTGATCTGTCGACCTTCAAGTGTGGCTTCTGTGCATTCAGACCTGGCTTGACCGGGTCAAAAAATGGGTGCAAAGCATGGAATAGCCATGTTGCATCATGATGCTGGATGCAACAGCAATGGACGATATGATATAGGTACTCTGAAAATTCTATTTGCTTTGCTTCGACTGCCTGCCATGGGCGCTTCCCATCGTCTGTGGGTGGCTGCCTACATCCACATCAACTGGGCATGCTAGCCCTTCGAACAAGCTTGATGCACGGGTTGGACAATGTACTTTCTTGAATGAAAAATGCAGGTTTCACGATCTTTCATCAAGTCCACCACTCCACGATGTCATAGAGCAAAGGAATAGGCGGTTGTTGCAATCGAAGTTCTGCCTCTCGGCACTTGCAGTGTTTGATGATATTTGTCGGTGCTCATCTGTTGCTGAATTCAGCATAGACAAACATGTGACTAGCTGAGTCATAGCTCCCACTTGCACTCTGCCTCAACATCTTTGCGAAGGTGCTGAAGCCAACTGTCTGAGAAGACCTCAATGCTACATTTAAGATCTACTTGACCTGTCTAGGACTGAACTTTTCCTAGCTCTGAAGGTCTGGATGCCTCCCGCACATCAGGGTGCGCATGCGGTCGCCTGAATTGGGCAAGTGAAACTGCTTTTGCCTCGCCATGCCATGACGAAACATCATGCAACTATTCTTGGCAAGTAACAAGAATGTTTTGGTAATAACACTACTAGCCGCAGTGAAACTTTCACCTCATGTCGTTGATTCCTGCCTAAAACCTGACCTGCCAATCTACAACGTGTCCAGATCTTTCAATTTAGTTTGCTGGTAAGTGTTTCTTGAGCAAGCGACTGGACGAAGGGAAGCGCAAAAAGAGGCATTAGTGCTTCATCTGCACTGACCTCAATGTCGCATGACTACTGAAACACTGGAACAGTGGAACACGCATCTTTGCCACAATAACAGGCACCTCATCCTTGCCGCACTCACTCAAGAAGTCCCGAAAGCGATCCAAGGCCTGTGAGAATGGGGAAGTGAAGAAAAATCTTCATCCATTCAAAGCCAACATTAAACATGAAGCTTTCTTGTAAAAACATATAGCTAATATGATAGAATCAAACTCCTTCTGCTTCTGTACTTTTCAGACTTGGACTCCGTGACCGCGTGACCTAATGCGGGATGTGTGATGCACAACGGCCTGCATTTCGTGAGGTTCCGGTTCGCGGCCTTCCTGCGGTCGCTTCGCCACCCGTTGCCACCGTTGACCGCTTTAGACCACTTTAGACCACTTTAGACCGAAAAGTGATGCTTTTGTGTTCTGTTAATTGGACTTTTAGACGTTTGGACCATTTTTGTTGCTGCATCTTTCTTCATTTCTTTCTGATTATATAAGTGATTTAGCAGACTTGGTAGACCAAAAGGTGCATTGTCAAAAATGCAGCACCTGCAATGCTCTGCGCATGCTGTGAGTGGCGAAGTAAGCCTCTCAAAGCACCCCGTCCCTTCAGTGGGAGGGATTGGAAGAGTAGCCCTTTGGCACCTCATGATCTGATCATATTGGAGTTCTGGGTTGGTTTGAGTTCCGGCACCTGCAGCCGCAATTCGATGTTTCGCCCCACCGGCGCTGTTTGCCGCTCTTCAGGGACAAGCCGCTGCCACGCATCCCTGACATCAGGCGGAACTCTTGTCTCTCCGGATTAAAGCTTAAAGCTACGAACAATACTGGGCATTCCTGCCTAAAGGCCTTCTGATCTCCAGCATCAAACGTTGCAAGCACCTCCTCAATCTTGCTCTGGTCAACTCAGCATTTCCGATGATTGGCTACATACAAGTACCTTCTAAATAATCGATATAAACACATGTTAACCAATGTCTTGCTCGTCTTGTTCCCTTGTCCAACAAATCAACATCCGAAAACTCCTCAATGTCACGCACCACTTGCATCCAAATGCTGGGGTTGCGCAAAAGCCCGGCACCTAAAGTGCTTTGGATGTTTGATGTGATTCCAAGAACTCATTCATCTTGAATCAATTTGCTTTGAACCCCTACCTGCCACTTCTCGACGAAAAGCTGTGAGAGGCTCCTGTTTCTCAAGACATGCTTGTCTATCATGACGATCAAGGAACCAAGAACTTGTTGCCTCTGAGCCATTCAGGAACCTGTGGGAACCTGTCTGGCGTCTAGTGGCGGCACAGTGAACATGTTTTCCCGGATCCGTCCGCCAAGTGGTGGTAGCCGAGGTATTCCTCCGCTTGACTTCTAACTCTTCAGATGCTTCCACTGCATACGCGCAACTGGCCTCAATTCCTTTGATGATGGAGACCTCAATTGAGCGCTAAATTCGCACTGCCCCTCAAGAACGCCCCAAAAGTTGCGGACTCTAGAGCCAAACAAGAGCTTGCGCTTTATGCAACATGCCCTGCACCTCCCGTAGTCCAGCACCATGGTCGAAGGTGCTGAAGCATGGAAGCGGGACCTTGCCAAAGGATCGGATCACCCGAAACAAAAAGGACTTTCGGCAAAGAGCCAGCCGTAGACTGTGGTACAACAGACTCATCACCACAATATTATCGCAAACCCCACAATACATGTTTTTTCGTTCCAGCATTTATTGAAAGCAATGACAAAACAATGAGAAGCAAACAAATTGAAGCCAAATCCGGTCCAACAGTTTCTTTTCAATTTACAAGTTCCTTTTGAATCCTGCGGCCGGAAAGGGGAAACGATCCGATCGGGTCAACACTGGCGTCCAATTGTGACCTCTGCATCTGCTCCACACCTCGGCTGTCAACATCATCAAAGCGAGACACACACAATTCAAGAGAATATGGCCTCCAACCTGATAGTGAATATATGTTTTTTTTCACACTCCTTTTCTGGGCAACTGCGTGCCTAAGCGAACCAGTTTCGCAGATCACGTTGCTGCGCCTGGCAAGCTGTCCTCAGCTTAGCCGAGATCGAGACTTGACCCTCTACGATCCGGCCTCTGGCCAGGCACTTGCTGCACTCCGCCAGGTGGCCTTTGCGGATCATCACATGGCTGCTGTGTCCATGCCACATCTCTGGCGGAAGTGGGCCATACCAACAGGTCTCACCGATGAAGCACTCAGAGGCTTCCTCGTTGGTTCTCGCCAGGATGTAGGCGCGGCATTGTGTGCACCTGAGGTATGCCTTCTCCAACCGCAAGTGGTGAACCCCTTGCTGCGGGTTGTCTGAGCTTGGATGAGGTCGTGTATCACACTCATCCTTGGAGGTTTGGTCCGCAGCTCTGGAGCTTGAACCGTGCAAGGAGCCTGCGTGGCTTGCTTCAGCTCCTGTAGAAGGCTTTTGGTGTGGACCTTAGTCCTGCAAAGACCACATTGCGCGCCGCTTCTGTGAGCCTCCCATTGGTGCCCATGCAAATCCGGTTTGCTTAAGAGCGCAGCAATCATTTCCTTCTTTTGCTGGACCAGAGGGGCTCGTCCTGCCACAACTGTCTCATCCTTGTTCTTGAGGAAGTGAGTTGGATCCCTTAGCAGGGCATCAACTCTCTCAGCTGCTTGAAGGAGGACGTCCCCTACATCTTCGTCTATGGCCTTTTGGTAGGCCAGGAACTCTTGAGGCGCTTCGCCTTGAGCTCTGGCTTTGGTGAGGGCATGAATGGCATGAGCAGAGGTGACCTGCTCGAAATCCTCGAAGTCAAGACCAGCATAGAGGTCAGGGAAGGTCTCCAGAGCCACATGAGGGGTCCAGGCTTTCCAGACTTGAAGGTTGCTGATGGCAACATGAACTTTGTCCAGCGTCATTAAGGCAAGATGCTTGAGAGCATAAAAGGTTGCCCTGGCTTTCGTGGCCGCACCTGGACAGATGCCCGTGATGGTGGCAATGGCTTCCTTGGTGGAGAATCTCCTAGATGCCCAAACCGAAGACATATTGTTTGCGACGCTTGTCAACGCAAGTGGCCACCACGTCCAAACAGCAAGCATGCCCATGATCCAGGTGGCATGGCTGGAGGTTTCTCCATCTGCCGGCGCCTTCGAAGGTGGCTGGAAAGGTAGTTGGGCCAGCCGGCGGTGCCAGAGTTCCGGATCTATGCTCTGCTGTATTCGATCTTTCCATTCATCAGGTATGGACTTCACTTTGCCTTCCCAAAAAGAGCACTCCCAGATCAAGTGGGTGACAGTGAGTTCGCAACCACACAAAGGGCAATTGCCGTCGATGCCATGCAAGGTGCCCTGGTGGAAGGCTCTGATCGCAGTGGCTAGCCTGTCACTGGTCTCTTTCTGGAGCTTGTTGCTGATGGTCCAATCGAGGAGCTGTTCAAGATATTCACAGCCTCTATGCCTGGTGATTCTCATCAACCGTTGCCAGCGAAACTCTTCACGTAACTTCATTTGAACCATGGGCCAAAGATCATCAAGAGAGATGTGCCCGTCCGGTATGGCCCCCCATAGTCTAAAAGATAGGCTTGAAGTGCTTGAAGTGGACCCACAACCACCTGCCATTTATACTTGGCCTGTTTGAGAGCACCCAGAGCGACCTGCCATCTGGACCAAAAAAGGTGTTGCTTGCTGTCGTCAAAGCTGTGGTAGATCTTCCAAACCGTGTGGATGTGCTGCACGACAACTGAGTCACCAGGATCAGGATGAGCCTGGTTGGCATCGAACACGACGTCAACAGATCCTGCGCGTTGGAGCTTGAGCCCTCTGGCAGCCATGACTCTGAGCTTCTGACGTCGTTGAGGCGCAAGGCCATTAGCTTGAGCTCCCCAAGTCATGACGGGATGAATGGCTCCTCTGTCACTTCACTCCTTGGGTGATTTTGAGGCGGTGTGCGATCCCTGCACGGTTGCTGCCCTTGAGGAACCTTTTGCGAACTTGGGGTACCCGTCTCCTCTTTTGCGGCTGCTGAGTCGACTCCCAAGTCTCTGAGCACATCGTAGTGGGCTGGATCATGCTCAGTAAGCAGATCTTTGAGGGCCTTGGCGGTTTCCTTCGAGCTGGTCAAGAATCTGGTCTTGTCCTTGTTGAGCTTGAGACCACCGGCCCCCACCAGGATTTGAAGGTCCCGGAATGCCTGCACTGCTTCCTGCGTCTCTGCCTCTGACATCATAGGACACATCATCAACCCAAGTCTGTAGGAGAACAGCAGGATGATCCTTGAGCAGATCTTTGAGAGGTTTGTAGAGGATGAGCTTGGGAATGGCAGGAGCCTGAGGGCAACCTTGCAAGATGCCTTTCTGGTAGCGCTGAGGGTCAGAGGCGATCCCTTCAGCCTGGATGACCCTTGGTCCTCGGTAGAGATCCATGGCAAGCTTCAAATGAAGTGCCGGGTACTCGAGCTCTTGGGCCGCTGGGATGATGTTGTCCACGGTGACCGTGTCGTAGAAGCATGAGAGATCAGCCAAGCAAGTGACCGTGTGGATGCCATTGTGTTTGCAAAGCTCTGTGTGGAGCACTCTCCCGACAGCGACGGAGAGGCAATCCTTTTTGGGCCTGGCGTGATCCCAGGGCATGACAGAGTCAAGGGACAGCTGCCACTTGACGACCTCTTGCTTGCGGACACCGTTCCAAAGCCTGTAAAGGCAAGAGGTCAAGGCAATGGGTCTCTCCACTTTGAGACTCTTGGGGATCACGACGATGTGAACCATTCTCAATTGCGTTGGCACAAAACTTCTTGTTCCATCATGTTCAACAAATCCGCCAGTTTGGCCACAGCAGGGAACGGAAGCTGCCTGAGGAAGTCATAAGAGATGCCATCAGGACCACATGCTTCGTTGGGCAGCTTGCGGATGATCTGTTGAAGGCTGAGCGGATTGATGGGGACCAAGGTGCGAGCGTGCTCGATAGCCTGCTCTCTCAGCTCTCTGTATCCATGAATGTGGCATGGTTCATCAACCGGTTGCCAAATGGCTCCCCATTGAGCTCGTCTGGCTTCCAGGCGCTCCTGCGGAGTGAGCCGTTTGGAGCCAGGTGCGGTATTCTTCCGAGTTCACACTTGCCAGCCCGATGTGTGCTTGGTGTTCTTGGGACTGGATGATGACCTGTAAGTTTTGTGGGTCTTGATTGGGATCTTTGAGCCAAGTTTCCATCTGTAGCGCAAAATCATCTTTGTCGAAGTTCTCTGATGCGTGCTGAGAGACATCTTCGATCATGTTCCTGAGCGCTTTCTCAACGTCAGCATGAGGGTTGTGATGGAGGACATTGACCCTTACCGCAATTTTCTTCGAGAAGGCTGGTCTTCCTTTCTTCCACAGCTGCACTTTGTGAGGTCCTTGAAGTGGGGCAACATAGAGATCGACCTGAAATCCTCTGCCCAATCTGGGCGCTTGAAGTTGTTGAGTGAGGTAGAACTCAGACTGAGTGCACCATCTCGCCAGGTCAGTGCCAAGCCCAGTGATCTGGTAGTTGAGGATGAAGAAGGGCCCATTCTTCTCAGGGAAGGAGGGCCATGCCTTGGGCGGTTGAAAGGCTCTCCCAATCGGTGGAAAGGATCTGAGCTGCTGAACAGGGATGGCCGCGTGGCCGGTGTTGAGCGTCAACATCATGGCACAGTGTGGCTTCCAGGGAATATCGCAGTTGGGTTCAATGGCGCAGCTGCTTTGTAGCCCATTCGAGATCAAGAAGTAGTCCAGCTGACTTCCATGAAGAGTGGTGGGACCCTCAATAGCTTTGATCTGGGCTTTGAACTTGCTTTGGACGACCATGGCAGCTAGATCAGCCGGAGGATTTTGCCAATCACCTCCAATGACGAAGGGTGCCTTGAGATTGTCCAGAAAGGAAAAAAGGTTTGCCAGGATCTCGGCGTTCAAGGGAGATTGAAAGGGTTCTCCAGCGCGCAGGTAGAGTTGGATGATGGCAATATGCATGTCCTCCCGCTGTAGTCCAACGGCCATCCAACCATTGCCTTCTTTGATGAAGTGCTGCAGTTGATGGGTGTGGTGGTGGGTGGGGTGAAGGCAGAGAAATCCGCCTGTATTGCCACCTCTGCCTGCGTCTTCAGCAGGTACTCCAAGTGCTTTCCACCCACGAACAACAAAGTATTGCTGGGCCTCTTGAAGTTTTTTCTCACTGAGGTGTGTCTCTGGAGGAAGATGATGTGATCCGCTTTGGACCAGACCCAGTCTTGCACTTTCCTCGCAAAGGTGGTGACGTTGGCAAAGCACATCGGAATGGATTCTGCATTTTGTTTGCTCCGTTTGGTGGGAGGTTCTTCTTCCATGGACATGTCTTCGTCCTCGTCGGAAGGATCGTGTACCATCCAAACTTGCAGGGTTTGAGTGGCTTGTTCTTTGGAGATGTCTTCCAAGACTTGAGGGTACTGATTGTCGTCAGCGAGCCAGTAGGCATTGTCGATTGCCAAAATGGCGCAGTAGTGTCCACTTTCATGGGAATCACCTTGATGAAGTACCATCGCAACTGGTTTGTAGGTGGCTCTGTGAACTGAGATTCCATCGTCGGAGTAGGGAAGAATGACCCCTGTGGGGACATGCACCTCAGAGTGGTGTTTCGTCCATTGGTCATGCTTGAGTTGATATCTCTGCAAATGGACAATGAGGCTGTCCGGTGTGCCATAGTGATATTGGCCCACTTCTTCATTGGCCCACGCTGTGATGAGATCTTCAAATTCCGTCACCTTGTGAGTGGGTGGGAACAGGACGTTGGTTTTTTT